AGGGACAGAGGGACAGGGCACAGAGAACACACAGAGGACAGGAAAATTGGGATCTTGGGAAGCTCTGAGGTTCTTTTATGCAGAGAGCCAGATCCCAAAATATTCCTGCCCAAAAGGGGATGGGGAAAGCCCCCAGGGATGTAGGTGAGGAGAGGGGGGACATTTCAGCAGGAGCCAGCCCAGGGAGGCTTCCCAGCCCCATAAACCCAGCAGGAATCAAATCTCAACATTCCCAGTGCCAGGGCTGGGAGCTCAGAGGGATTTTTGCTAATGAAAGTCCTAGGCAGGAAGGAAAGCTGAAAGCAGGCAGCAGGGCAGGCTGGGGAGGAGGGATTTAGGAGCTTAAATGAACACAGAATTAATGAAAAGGCTCAGAAAGGGGAGGCCAGGACTCCAGGAGGGAATTCTGGTGTGTGCTGAGTGAAACCAGGGCTTAACCCAAGATCCTCCTCCCATCCTGGCAGGAATTCACCCACCCCCAAAGACACAGCAGAAACCCCAGAGCAGACAGGCCTCAGGACTTTAATGAGTTTAGAATTTTAATGATTGGAGAGCCAGGGGAGCAAAATCTGAGCTGCAGGTTTGGGGTGGAGGGGGCACAGAGGGGCATTTCCAGGGCACATTTCAGGGCTTCAAAACAACTCTTCTGCATCAGCTTTCCAGAAGAAAAGTCTCTGTGTGTCTGTGCCTGCTGGAGGAAGGAAAAATAACAAAAAAAAAGCCCCACAAATAATTAAAAGGGAGGGGCTGAAGCCCCAAAGCAAGGCTTGAGCCCCAAACCTGCAAGGGCAGCAGGGCAGGAACTCAGGGCTGTGCCTTTGCTATGAGCTCTGCTCAGTTTCTGCGAGCTGGTGACCTCAGCCAGGCTCCCAAAATTCCCAATTCTCCAAGGCTGCTCCCTCTCCTGGCGGTCACTGGTGTTTGTGGCAAAAGCACCGGGAGAGGCTTTGCTGCTCCTTGCCCAGTGTGAGAGTCTGTCCGAATTTTCCCTCATCTGCCTCACAATCGTCATTGGGGGACCACTGAAGAGAAGACCCCCCCTGCCTAAAATCTCTGGCTCTGAAGGAGAAAGTCACACACCAACAAGGCCCCAAGACCTGAGAGCTCAGTGCTAAGTTTTTGTTTTCACAGGTGTTGTTTGCTGTGTGCTACACTGAGCCCAATGAGAAGAAGAAGGGGGCACCATGGCCTGTTTGCAACAACAGCCTTGGGAGCTGTCCCACCTCTCGGCCTGGCTGGACTTCTCCTGAGTTTCAGGTGGTCCCCCCACAGAAGACCCTCACCTGTTTTACAACCACTGTGACGGACAGACTGGGATGTAAGAAGCCTCTCCATCAGGGACTGAGACATGGAACCCCATGCGCAAAGGCCCCTCTCCATCAAGGACTGAGACATGGAACCCCCATGTGGAAAGGCCCCTCTCCATCAAGGACTGAGACATGGAACCCCCATGTGAAAAGGCCCCTCTGCTCCTTCCAAGGCCTGGGACTGACACCCCCAGCCCAGGGGAGGTGTGTGGGGGACCAAAGCTGGCCAAAGCGAGATGTTTGCCTGCAGGTGTGACCACTGGACCAAGAAGACAATGGCTCTGGTTTACTGCTGAGAGCATGGACTGCCTGTTACATCAATTCCTTATTGTACCTGTTTCCCCCCCCACAATTTCCAATAGAGTTATCATAATAAAAACCTCTGAGTTAGATAGAGATTTTGAGATCTCCCCGACGTAACAGGCGGACCCTCAACTGGACTGGACCTAAGGACTTCATCTCTACGTTTGGTAGCTCCATCCCTCTCTTTCTCTTTCTTTCTTCTCTCTCTTTCTCTATCTTTTTCTCTGCCTTAATCCCTCTATTTTGCTGTGGTCATTCAATAAAGGTGCATTTGTTTTATCACTGCAAACCTGCTTGTACCATGTTGGTTCTTTTGCACCCTGAGATCACCCCACAAACCATCACGAACCTAGCTCATAAGGACAGATCATGACACCCAGAACCCAGCCCAGCCCTGCAGAAGCCCCAGGGGAGCAGGGAAGAGCCAGGGATCCAAGGATTGTCACTGTGATATTTTCTGGAAAATCCCTTTGCCAGGATTTTCCTCCTGAGAAGCCTCAGAAAAGAAATGCAAACAAGAATTATTTGATTGCTTGGAATGTGCTCTGGATGTTGGTCTCCCACAGGTGCATCTCTGATTGGTTTCATGGGAATTGTTTTTAATTAATGACCAATTCCAGTCCAGCTGTGTGGGACTCTCTGGTCAGCCACAAAATTTTTATTATTTCTTATATTATTTATTATTTATATTATTCCTTTCTACTCTTCTGATGTCTCATTTATCTTTTCTTTAGTATAGTTTTAGAATATAATTGTCTTTTAATATAATATCATATATCATATCATATCATGAAATAATAAATCAGCCTTCTGAAACATAGAATCAAGATTCTCATCTCTTCCCTCATCCTGGGCACCCTCAAACACCACACAGGGGACATCCCTAGCCCAGGAATGGCTCCTTGGGGGACACAGCTCCTGCTGGGGCCTCTGGGGGGCTGGCACAAACTCCTTTGGCTACCACAAACTCCTGAATTTGAGCCTTCCAGGGCAATTCCATCAGGAAAAATCCCAAATCCCTGGGAGTGAGGGACTGCAGCCCTGCCAGTGAGGGCTCAGCAGCAGGAGCTGCTGCCCAGCCCCACAAGGGCACCACAAGGCACACAGAGCCAAAAAAGGGCACCACAAGGCACACAGAGCCGAAAAAGGGGCACCACAAGGCACACAGAGACCAAAAAAAGGCACCACAAGGCACACAGAGATGAAAAGGGCACCACAAGGCACACAGAGATGTCCTTAAAGCCTCCCAAATCCCAGGATTTGAACAAGGTCCCGCTGGAGACACCAGAGAAAGGCTCAGCTGAAAGCAAAGCAGGGAGAGAAAAGTGGAGGGGCTCAGATGTCAAAGAAATCCACGTGAGCTCCGGAGGGAAAGGAATCCTCCTGCAGGAGCTGGAGCAGCTTCTGGGCTGACACAGAGCTCGGGATGAGCTGGCCCTGCTCCTGCAGCGTCTGGAAGCGCTGGCGCAGCCCAGGGTCCCGAGTCCTGCTCCGGGCCAGGAGCTGCATGTCCGTGTCCAGGGGGCCTGGGGAAAGGAAAAATCACCCAAAAATTCACTTCAGGAGAGAGGAAAATCCAGGGGTTGTGTTCCCCTCTGGAGCCAGGCTGGGAGAGCTGGGAATGTTCCCCTGGAGAAGGGAAAAATCCAAGGAATCCTCAAAGTTCCTAAAGGGGCCTCAGGAGAGCTGCAGAGGGATTGGGGACAAGGGATAGAGGGACAGGAGCCAGGGAATGGCTCCCACTGGGAAAGAGGAGATTGGGCTGGGATCTTGGCAAGGAATTCCTGGCTGGAATGGAATTCCCAGATTTGCTGGGGCTGCCCCTGGATCCCTGGGAATGCCCAAGGCCAGGCTGGACATTGGGATAGTGACAGATGGTGTCCCTGCCCATGGATGGGGTGGGATGGGATAATGGGGTGGGATGGGATGCGATGGGATAATGGGATGGGATGCGATGGGGTGAGATGGAATGCGATGAGGTGGGATGGGTTTTCAAGTCTCTTCCCACAACCCAGGCTGGAATTCCATGATCCCGATGAAAAAGCCAGCTGGGAGATGGCCTTTGAGTCCAGCACAGGGAACTGGCCTCCCCTCTGTGCTGCTGGAGGCTGGAGGGGCAGGAGCAGGGCTGGGCTGCAGGAATGCCCATCCCAAACGCAGGAGAGGGTGGAGCTGCTCCCCTCACCTGGGGCATAGTTGAGCACACGCACTCCGGGCTCCTCCAGGGCCAGCACACGGAACATCATGTCCCTGGCAGCCTTGCCAGAGCAGTACAGGGCCCAGCTGGGGAAGGGTTCCAGGGCACACAGGGATGAGATGTTCACCACGGTCCTGCTGCAGCCAGGCCGGGCCCCAAAGGCCCTCAGGGCTGTGGAGGTCAGGCAGAGGGCTGAGCTGATGTTGAAGGAGAAGTAGGAGTTGATCTCCTCCAGGTCGGTGAGGTCCAGGAAGGATTTAGAGATGTCTCCCAAGGAGCCTGGGAATTGCAAATGTGGAATGGTTTGGGATGAGTGGGGATCTTAAACAATGTCCTTCCACTGCCCCAGGGTGCTTCCAGTGCCAGCCTGGCCCGGGACACCTCCAGAAAGGTGGAAAATGAGTTCTTACAGATCAACCCCACAGCCGATCCCTTTGGGTGTCACGTTCCACACCCAACACTCCCAGAGATTTGGGGCCCAGCCCCTGCCAGGGCCCACAGCAGCCTGAGGAGCCCAGCCCGGCCCATTTTGGGTCACAGTGACCCAGCAGTGACAGGGGACAGGGACCTGCCCTGCCAGCCATGTGCCAATGCAAACAGTTCCCAGGCTGGAGCACCATGTCCCCAAGGGCCACCACAGGCCCTGTGCCAGAGCACTCCCAGATCCTGGAGCCCCAATGGAACCCAGGGGTGATTTACAGCCATTATGGGTAAAAAGGGCACTGAAGGCATTAAAGGTACGAGAAAGAACCCACAAGGTGGGGCTGGAATTTTGTCTGAAGCTTTGGATTCGGGTAGCAGGGGGATGAGAAGGTGCAGGAGGGCCCAGGAAAACCTTGGGAGCAGCAAAGCACTCCAGGAACCCCCCAATTAATTCCTTTAATAAACCCACACCGGGACAGGGGGAAATCCCGCAGCTCCTTTTCTCTTTTGGGGTACTTGCCAGCACCCCAAGCCCGGAGCCGCGCGGGG